AACAATATGCTACAAACAACATGACAAAGGCTGACATGCATAAAAGGGCTTGGACCCCGGTCATAACTGCTTTGCAGTTCTAGTTTTGATTTGTATTAGGTAACAGGTGCTTAGTCGTCCCTGATAAACTAGTCTACGTTGTCATCTGGGGTGGCAAGATGTTTATTTATCAGGGGCAGCTGCCTGATCATGCCCTCTTTAGAACCGCCACTGTGAATTTCTCCTAAATAAAGATCTTATATTTTATTTTTGACGTGTTTCAGTGTTGGGGAGTTTGCACACGGAAAGGGTTAAAAGTTTCGTTCCTTGGACCCACATTCTGATTAAATCGCTTAGTCACCGCCGTTAACCGGGAGCAGCAGCGCCTCCCTGAGCCCTCGGTGATTGGTTGTGGGGCTCGCCTTCCCACAGCCCGTCCTCAGCCCAGCAGGGCGGGGCTGGCTCTCCACGAAACTGAATTGAGCTACAACCGGGCCGGGCGGCAGAAGGGAGAACTTAACCCTGTCCTGTCGCTCTATGGAGCAGCGTGGAAATGCTCTGGCCGCGTAGGAGAGGAGCACCGGAGCGGACAGCGGCCGTGTTTCCGTCCCATCCTCCTCCGGTTCTGGTTCGGATCGGGATTTAAGCCGTTTGGATCTCCCAAACCCATCCGCGGTGGTGGGAAGAAGAGAAAACGCGTTTCTATCACCGGTGCGCCGCAGTTAAAGATGATGTGACCAAACCAGTGATCTTTTGCTGTCGGTGGCGGAGGAGAAAAAAAAAAGAGGAACAACTAAAAATAAAATAAAACAAACAATAATAATCATCACTCCTGGAGATTAACTGAGCTGCTCGTTCTAAGGGTAAGTTCATCTCGACTGTCTCCTGTCGCTCATACGGAAGAGGCGCCCTGAACGCGTCGTGATCACGGGGGGGGGGGGGGGGGGGGGGGGGGGGGGGCCGTAAGAGTGGAATGAATTACCGGCCAATTAGGCAGTCAGCATGGGAATCTGTAGGGTTCAGGTGGCAACGGTGAGGACACGGAGTTCCGAGGCATTGGTCTGTTTGCAGAGGAGTTGTCATCGTCTGAGCGCACCCACGCGCTCTGGTGTGCCTTCTGATAATTAGGTCCACCTCAAGGCCCTAATGTCTATTTAAAAAGTGTCAAATGAACAGATGAGCCAGTGGAGCCATGAAGGTGTAAAATGCGACACTGGGATGTTTTTTAAATTAAAATCTTTTTGACTCCCAATTTGGCAAAAATGATGCTCTCATTTTTATCCCATTGTCTGATAGCATTCCAAAAATGATTCAGATGAAAAAGTTGTGGCTTCAATCTGGGATTGATTGTGGGGAGAAAAAAGAAAGAAAGGAGAAAATAACTGTTCACCACACAGCACATCATACAGTTTCAGTATGACCTCACTTATCTTTGTCATTTCTCCTCCCACTCTTGTTTTTGGTCACCAGCATCTTTCTCATGAAGTGAGTCAGCTAATATCAGCATCACGAATCTCTCTCTTTGTGCTCATCTAAACGGCAAAAATAGTCAAGTTACATATTTATTGACATTTAAATACACGAACAATGTCAAACTGCTTCATGACTTATAACAAGAGGTCGTTTGATTTTAATAAAACTTATAGAAAATAATCTTTGGATGTGTATAAACATTAAATTTCAGAATCAGCTTTAATCAAGATGGCTTCCACAGCCAGCTGACCTTAATAAGAACAAAAATGTCTATAACTCAGTCAATTTTACAGAAAATGCTCTAAAATTTGGTGTGGTAGTAGCTGAGACGGGTACAAAACACATTATTTAAAATGTTTACAGTCTGTGCAAAATTCCTGTTTAAATTTTTATCGTTAACTGCTGTTGCCCAGCGTTGTATGTCTGTTAGCAAAATATTTTAGAAACTATTGGATAGATTTTAATGAAACTTTGAGGAAACAATTGAGTAATGTACCTATACAATTTTTTAACTTTTGAGATCAGCACAACTGAAGATGCCCATCGCAGCTAATTAACATCTGCAAATACAGAAATGGCTATAACTTAGTCAGTTTTATARATATTAAGTTAAAAGTTAATGTGGTAGTAGCTGAGATTCCCAACACAAACTGTGAGACGCCTTTCATTATTGAACAAGATTGTGCACATTATTATTTTAAGCTACAACTCTGGCATTTCTCAAAATAAGACAATCTTAGGCCTTTAATTTACTCATTGTTTTTCATTAGGCCTGAGATATTTTGTTTTGTGCTAATACTGTGACAAACTGGCTCATGGCAAGAAATCACAAAATCCTACCCTCTCGTAGGCCACCTGATTGTCTAAAATGGACTCAGCAGAGGTTAAATATTCCAGGATGACAGCACAGGCRAGCCAACATATTAACAAATGGCAGTCTTGTTGACAAGTTAAAAGCATCACTGTCCTACAATACCTGGGCAGACTGAAGTGAAACTGTAGACTTACTGTATTGGAAACTGCTGACTTATTTTGGCAAACAGAACACAGGAGCACATGGCCCGGTTTGTGTGCCCAGTGTTCCTGAAACATTATCACATGGAGGGATCATAGCTTGGGGTGATGTAATCGCACCAATAAAGCCAGTCTCCGATGTGTGATAGTGGCACGCATGCTCATTTTCTGTATCTGCTCCAACTGGACCCCGGAGAGAGTATTCCCAAAGTGCATGCAACGTGTTTGGATGCATTTATAATGTCACGATACGCGGAAGGAGTCAAGAGTTCGGTTCATCATCCAGGCTAACTTTTATTGACAAGCTAGTATGTGAGCTTTTCAGAGGGCCGTTGACCGGGCCACACTGTAGTCATGCCTCCTGCGTGACTCGTCTGTCTGTCAGTCTGGCCAAGTGCACAGTCCTACACATTCTTCACGGGGTTGCCATCAAACTAGCGACAGTGCAGGATTTCATGCTCAGTGCTGTCAACTTTCATTTGTTGCCCTTTATTTAAAACCCACCACCGCTACGAAAAAGCAAGTACTGCGCCTTATTTAGTTCGCAGCTGTGATGCTTGATTACGTTTTCAATCGGGACTGCAAGGCAAATATGAAGTGAACAGTAAGTCTTCAGAGACCTGCTCCCAAACTTTGGGCGTACCCTCTCAGATTCTTGGTCGTTTTCTCCAGTCTGCCTGGTCTTTCTGAGTTCACAGCAAATGAGCGTCTCTGGACTTGAGCAGTTCCATGTGTGCAGAGCACATGACTCTCTGTGTTACTTCAGGCTGTTTTACCCAAACACACATCTGTACCACGGGTTGAAAACTTGCTCGCCTGAGACATTATTTTAGTTGGCAATCTGAAGCTTAAATTTATTTCTGACCAGCTGAAATTGATTCTTAGCATTCGCTTCAAGAATACATGGATAGCACATGACATCAGTGGTTATTTTATTTAATATAACAAGTGTTTACTGTCATTGAAATGAGTTTGTACATTTGCCAAGTTAATGAATATTATTCCAGATTTACACATTTGTTATAATTTAAGTGCCTTTTATTTGTCTTACGATTATATTGTGCTAAACACAATGGGATGCTGGTTAGTGTCTGTTAGAAAAATACGCAAACCACTGGACATAAGGCAACTTTCAGAAACTGTGACTAGGTTTTCTATAAACAATGGTTTGAACACGTGATTAGGGGCCATTTTTTTTACCCTTGACTGAAGCCACAGAGAGGGCAGCACAGTGACTCAGTTGGTAGAGCTGTTGCCGGATTGAAAACCGGCCTGGGGACCTTTCTGAGTAGAATTTGCATTTTCTTTCCATGCATGTGTGAGTTTTCTTTGGGTACTCTGGTTTCCTCCTCCCACAGATCAAAAACATGACGATTATGCTAATTTGTATCTCTAACTTGTCCCTAGATGTGAGTGAGAGAGTGAACGGTTGTTTGTCTCTATGTGTGGCCCTATGATGGACTTGCAATCTGTCCAGGGTGTACCCCACCTCTCGCACAGTGACTGCTGGATATGGGCACCAGTGACCCACATGACTATGAATAAAATAAGCTAGTAATGATAATGGATGAAGCCACAGAGAGGCTCAGAGTGAGATGGAGTATTTAGATTTGACAATAAACATTAAACTGAGAACCTTATCGGTTTTTTTTTTTTGTGTAATATTCTGGCTACCAGAATTATACATTACATAATTATTCAGTATACTGTCGACAATTAACTACACTTTGGAGTCAGCATAATTTAACTTGATTCATACAGCTTATTGGCATTAGCCTCCACAAAAATGGCCATCACTTTGCCATTTTAATAGATATTGAGCCACTACCTGGTGTGGTAGTAACTGAGAGTCATCCTCACATACTTCAAGTGTTAGTATTGCATGAGATCATACATTTAGTTCTGAGTAGGGATGTACAGTGGATTGCAAAAGTATTCATACCCCTTGAACTTTTCCATATTTTGTCACATTACAACCACAAACATAAATATATTTCACTGGAATTTAATGTGAAAGAC